AAATATAGTGGTTTGATGGATTATCTCAAATCTAGATTTGAAAATGACAATGTGTTGATTGGTAAAATGATAATACTTCCATCATCTCTTGAGGGTAGTCCCAGAAATATGCAGCAGCGATATCGGGATGCTATGGCAATTGTAACGAAGTATGGCAAGCCCGATTTATTCATAACCATGATGTGCAGCCCCAAATGGGCACATATTGCAAACAATTTACAACGCTGGCAAAAAGTTGAAAACATACCTGACTTGGTAGCCAGAGTTTTTTGTTTGTTTGTTTGTTTGTTTTCAGAGTCAGGGTCTTGCTATGTTGCCCAGGCTGGAGTGCAGTGGCTATTCACAGGTGCGATCCCACTACTGATCAGCACGGGAGCTTTGACCTGCTCCGTCTCTGACCTGGGCCGGTTCACCCCTCCTTAGGCAACCTGGTGGCCCCCCCGCTCCCGGGAGGTCACCATATTGATGCCGAACTTAGTGCGGACACCCGATCAGCATAGCACACTACAGCCCAGAACTCCTGGGCTCAAGCGATCCTCCAGCCTCAGCCTCCCGAGTAGCTGGGACTACAGGCGCGCACCATTGCGCCCGGCAGAGTTTTTAATATTAAGCTGAATGCTCTTTTATCTGTAAATTCCATTTATTTGGCAAAGTAATAGCTAAAATTCATGTCATTGAATTTCAGAAACACGGACTGCCCCATGCTCACATATTATTGATATTAGATAGTGAGTCCAAATTATGTTCCTCTAATTAATTCCCTTTCAATGTGCATGAATTTCGTGCACCAGGTCACTAGTGAACATTATAAAAGAACCTATTCCCAGTTTGGATGAGATTGGTTGATTTTAGTGCTTGGTAGATTTGTATTAAAACTTAAAAATGTGAGCTCATGGATGTAGAGAACAAATTGGTGTTTGCCTGAGGAAGGGTTGGGGTGAATGAAATGGGAGAAGAATCATAAAGTATAGATTTCTAATTATAAAGTGAATGTCATGGGAATATAATGTACAGTATGGTGACTGTAGTTAATAATATAATGTATTGCATATTTGAAAGTAGCTAGCAGAGTGGATCTTGAAAGTTCTTAACCACAAGAAAATAATTTTGTCACTGCATGGTGATGGATGTTAACTGAACTTATTGTGGTGATTATTTTACAGTACATACAGATATCAAGTCATTATGTTGTACACCTGAAAGTAATATAATGTTATGTCAGTTATACCTCAATTTTTGTCTTTTTCAGTTGGAGTCATTCGATGTCCAGTTTGTAGCCAAGAATGCGCAGAGCGACACATCATAGATAATTTTTTTGTGAAGGATACTACTGAGGTTCCCAGTAGTACAGTAGAAAAATCTAATCAGGTAAGTGTATTAAGTCTTGAATCTTGTGCCTCCTCTTTTTTTATTTTTAAATATATTTTTATTGATTCAGAGAGGGAGAGGGAGAGAGGGATAGAAACATTAGTGATGAAAGAGAATCATTCATTGGCTGCCTCCTGCACAGACTCTACTGGGGAGCGTGCCCGCAACTTGGGCATGTGCCCTGATGGGGAATCGAACCATGACTTCCTGGTTTATAAGTTGACACTCAATCACTGAGCTACACCAGCCAGGCCTTTTGCCTCCTCTTAATGAGGCAGCCAGAAATGTTGGAGGACTTGAAAATAAAAGGTGTCAAATATTAGAGCATTATATCTATGAAATGATGTAATATTTTAAAGGTATATATGTATATGAAGAATAATGACTAATTCATCTGAAGTAATAAAATAGTGCAATGTAGAAGCTCTGATGACACTTCTATCTTACCTGTCCTGGCAGAGAAAACCATTATTCTATATTTGACATTATTTCATTTCTTTGAAATTTTACGCTGTATTGACAATTAGAATTTTTATTTTAAGCCCTCCCTTTAAAATTTTTTTCTGTTTTAATTATAAGCTCTATATTGATATATACGAAAATTTTCATGTCTTTGATCCAGTACAGTTTCTGCATTATAAGAAAGTCTTCTTTTCTACATGGTATTTCTTTGAAAGCCTCATTTGGTAGCATTGTCCAAGGTATTACATTTAGAGGTCCAATGGTGTTTTTCTTTTTTCCTTACTTCCATAAACCCACATGTAGAAGATTTCTGTTGGCCTCTTATATCTAAATGTCAGGTTCCTAGTGGATGTACTCCAGCGGAGGTGAGCTATAATTCTGCAGTATATGCTAAATTTAAGTGTAGTGTATTAGTCTGTTTTTGGATCATGAATCATTGATAGTTTCTCTAGGCCAGTGGTCGGCAAACTCATTAGTCAACAGAGCCAAATATCAACAGTGCAACGATTGAAATTTCTTTTGAGAGCCAAATTTTTTAAACTTAAACTATATAGGTAGGTACATTGTTATTAACTTAATTAGGGTACTCCTAAGGCTTAGGAAGAGCCACACTCAAAGGGCCAAAGAGCCACATGTGGCTCTCGAGCTGCAGTTTGCTGACCACGGCTCTAGGCAGTTTCTTCAATTTGGAACAGAAGATCTCTGAAGGAACTGAATCTGAGTATAAAAAAATGATTGTTAACCTAAAATGTAAAAATCTAAAAAGTAATATTTTGGACTCTTCAGTAATCACACAGCTAAAGTTTCTGTACTTTCATTTTCAGTGTTTTTTCCATTGGGAGCTATAGGAACTTAGGGTTCACTTTAAATGAATATGACCACTACTAACTAAAATATCTCTTTTTGTTTAAAAAATATCCACAACTCTTCCTAATGTGAACTTTCATCAAGGTCAAAACAGGGTTGGGTGCAGAGAATAAACTTTTCTAATTGTTGTGAAATCAGCTTTAAGGAATGGAATAATCATTACGTGAGCTACAGTGTAAAATAGCCCCATTGAAAGTTCCCTTCTGAATACTACTGACTTTGTTTCTGTTGTCTAGCGTGCCCTATCATTTTGCTTTACATATGATAATATTTTCAGATGTATTTTGTTAGTCATATCACACATCAATTACAGTTTAGGTGAACTCTAGTAGTACATGTGAATGATCAAACCAGAAGATTAAAAAACAAAGCAGCGTAAATAATCAACAGGGTGGAGAAATGATAAGACATGAAATTATGATAGGTGAGAATGGAAGGAATTCAAATCTAAAGGACAATTTTAAGAGGCTGTTTTATGTCTCTTTATAATCAGTTGGTTTTCAGTGTTTATTTACTCTGCTTCTATTACAGAAACATAAAATAAGTTATAATCAATTAAACTAGAGATAGAGTCCAATAGATATCTTCAATGTTAAGTGGAGGTGGGAAGAGTATTAAGTTTGGTTCAAAGAATAAGATGCTTGTAGGGATATTTTGGGAACAGAGACTTAGGTGATAATGTAGGATGAATTGGGGTTAGGAAGCAGTAGGTGAGAGGTAGAGCTGAACTAGCATGGTGGTGATAAGGGAAGGAAGGGGTAAGTTATAGTCCACTCAGGACTTGATAATACCTGATTGCATGTGGAAGATGAGAGAGGCCCCACTGCCAAGATGGTGGTTCCTTTCCACAGATAAAGAGAGCAGGGAAGTAGACAGAGGTGAAGAGAATTGGATTTGAATGTGATAAACTTGTCTATAAGATAGAAATGTCTTCTGTGGTCACACTGGAGCTCTGAAGAGTTTATAGCTGGACATAAAGTTTGAAAAACTTTTGTGATGGATAATTTCAACCATTCCCCAAAATTGAGTTTAGCACCATGTACCCATTCACTCAATAGTCCACAACCCTTGTTTTATGTAAAATAACCCTGACACCCCCCCCCATAAACACTAGATTATGTTGATGTTAATTTCTGGTTTTACATAATCTAATCCATAAATATTTCAGTATTTATTACTATGGAAAAAATAAATTTTTCTTTAAATATAGTCACCATATTAATTTATGTGTAAAATGTATAGTAATTCCTTAATATTATCAAACATTCAGACACTGATCAAATATCTCTATTTGTTGCAGTTTTTAAACAGTGGCTTGTTTATATAAGAATCCAATAAGGCCTACACAATGCGTTTGGTTGATTTATCTAAAAAATATCTTTAATCTCAAATGACCCCTTTGCCTCACTGGCTTTCTTTATCCTCTCTTCTAACATATTTGTTGGATAAACTGGGTTTAGTTCAGTAGAGTTAGCCCTATTCTGAATTTTGCTGACCATTTCCATAAAGTCATTTAATGTGCTTTTCTCTCTTTTGTATTTTGTATAAACTAGAAATGAAAATGTAGAGGCTGGGTTAGATTCAGGTCCCATTGGGTGGAGGGGTGGAGGGGTGAGGGGGTGCGTAAATACTTTCATATGTCCATTTGTATTTCAGTTGGGAAGCATATGATGTTTGGTTGTCTTTCTCTTTTCTGATGTTTATGTCCATTAATGATCACTGCCAAATTCATATTTCATTAGGGCTTTGTGAAATGATTACATTTTCATTCTATCATTCCCCTTTATCTTAACACTAGAATGAAAAGAGTTTTCTTTCTCTATTCTTTGGTTAAGCAGGGAAGGTAGGTTAACATTGATTCTTTCCCTTTCGCTGCTAATTTTTAAAAAATATATTTATTTTTTGATTTCATGGAGGAAGGGAGAGGAGAGAGATAGAAACATCAATGATTAAATCATTGATCAGCTGCCTCCTGCACATCCACTACTGGGGATCGAGCCCATAATCTGGGTATGTGCCCTGACCTGGAATGGAACCTTGACCTCCCGGTTCATAGGTCAACACTCAACCGCTGAGCCACACTGGCTGGGCTCATTGCTAATTTTTAGAGTAGTGACTTAGTTTCTTAGCATTTCTCAGAGGTGACTCCTGAGTGGTAGGTAGGTGTTCGTGTTTATCATTATAAAGTCATGGATTATTAACATAAAATGTGTTGTAGTTATTTTTATTGGTGCTCAAATTGTGCCATTAGGCAATAGGAGCCTCAAATTGATTCCTGAGTCCTCCTGACACAATCACCATAGTCACTGCTGTTTCTCTTGCTTTCTCTTTTGACAAGATACTGGTCATTTTCTGTTCTAGACCTGGAACCAGCCATTTCTTCTAGGATCCTTGGTTTCTTTTAATCAGGAAAGGTATTTGGAGACCACAATATGGGTGCTAGGATGCTCAACACCATTGGGTTGATTATTTTACTATGTCTTTGAGGAGAATGATTTAATATACTTTTTACTTTAAAAAAGAGAAAGAGAAAATACCTCAGAAGTGTGTATATATAAGTCTAATTTATAATTACAGGGTTTTACCTTTTTTTCTTTTAATCCTCACCCGAGAATATGTTCTCATTGATCTTTACGGAGAGAGGAAGGGAGAGTGGGAAACATCAATTAGTTGACTCCCATATGCACCCCAGCCTCGGATCAAACCCACAACTTAGATATGTACCCTGACCAGGAATCGAACCTGAAACCTTTTGGTGTACAGGAAACTGCACCAACCAACTAAGCCACCCAGCCAGGGTGGGTTTTACTTTTTTTATTTTATACTAGAGGCCCAGTGCACAAATTTTGTGCATGGGTGGGATTGCCTATGGCTGGCAATCAGGGCCGATTGGGGCCGGACCAATCGGGGCCTGAAGGCCCTGGCAGGGTCAGGAGAGGAGGCGATGGTCACCGGGCACAGAAGGAACAGACGCCGGATGATGCTGATGCCACCATCGTCGGTGCCCTGCCTCCCCCGCTCCTCCTCCCCTCACCACTGCGCCACCACTGTGGTGGGTGGGCAGTGGGCTGATCAGGGCCTGCTGGCCGGGGGCAGGGATGGGGCATTCGAGGTTGGCCACTGGCCCCGAGGAGGGAGCCAGCCTTTTTGGCTCCCCTGGGAAAGGGGCCACGTCTGCTGCCACCCACCCCTAGTTCAGGGCCCAGCCCCGATTGGGCAACTGGGGCCTGCTGGCCGGGGGGAGGGACCGAGGGAGGTTGGCTGGCTGGGGGAGGTTGGCTGTGGGAGTGCACTGACCACCGGGGCAGCTCCTGCCTTGAGTGCCTGGCCCCTGGTGGCCAGTACGTGTTATAGCGACCAGTCGTTCTGGTTGTTTGGTCGTGTAGATCGCTTAGGTTTTTATATATATAGATTTATCTCACTTCTACAGTACTAGAAATATTGGTCCTTAATTACATTGACATAATTATTTTCCCCAAATATATAAAAATATTTATATAGTGATGTGTTCATATATATTAAAATAAATATCAATGTAATACATAAGGTATCTGTATAAATAAATACTTACATTATGTATTATAGGTTATATGATAGTTTTGGTACAATCAGAAATCATTTTAATTCATTTTTAATGTTAATTATTTTGTTTTTAATTCTTTTTAAATTAA